AGATGATCAGTGTAGGGTCTGGAAAAGGAGCTTTGTGTGTTTGCCAGCATTCGCCCAGCCCTGCTAGGGAAGAATGGTTGTGAATCCTGTGGCCACAGACTCCGCCGGGTTTGCGTGCCTTGAGGCACCGTCCTACATATCACCCATAATGACGAGGGTAAACCTGGCCTCTGTGTGTTTGGAATGGCAAATGCCCCCTTGTGTTTGTGCGTGCATGTGAGTCTTAAGGATTTGAAAGAGGCTATTTAAGTCTTGTAAGACTTAAAAATATCCAACCTATTATTCTAAAATTTAACCGGAAAGAGTTTCCAATGAGGCTGAATGATTGCGTCCTCTACTTAGTGTTTATTTGTTTTCACCAGGAAAGAATCTGTGACCCTGAAAGTGTTAACAGCCTCAAAGGTCACTTCTAGAGTGTCCCTATGCCTTGTGTGCTCTGCTGACCCCAAAGTTTCAGTGAGAAATACATTTTAAGCCTCCTTAGGATGGGCTACCGGGTTCCCTTCCATGACAGTTTTCCTAGGGAAAATTTAAAAGTGTGTGCTCACTGCTTTTCTTACAGCTGCGGGAGCTTAGGTAGAGGGTGCTCTGACCCACACCCAAGTTTGAGGGGAAAATCTTGAAGGAGGGTATGAGATTCTTTTACTTGGGGACTGGATACTTCATTGATGAAACATATTAGATTTTAATGGGATACATGCTACCTAGTCGGCATCTGCCTCCTGGACCTGCTGCCTGCTGTATGCAAAGGGAGGGGCGGTCACTCTTTAATTACTTATAAATCTTTAGTTCTTTACCTGAAATAGTCCATTAAGCATTAGGAACCATGCGTTCAGTAAGATGAGGGACAGAGTGAAGAAGGCGATCTACCTTTAAGATTTTCTTCCTAGTGTTGCAGTTGATGTTAGTTGGAGAAAGACAGGATCTTTTCACTTCTTATTTTGTTTGATCGTTATTCTTCTTTGGCTGTGAAGCTGGAGCCATGTGGACATGACTTAGAAGTTCTGCTTTTCAGCCATTTCGACCATCTATACACATCCTAGCTGCCCGAACAAGCTGATTACAGCAATTACTATCAATCTGGTAACTGTCCAAGGTGGCAGGGTTGGCTTATTTCCCCTCACAGGTTCAGATGTCATTGTCAACACACGTCTCTTCTACAGCCATGTACATTGCTTTGTTAGCGAGAATTTCCACCAGCCGGAAGAGTCAGGGCAATGGGCCACATTCTCGAAGCTCTTGGAGTTTCATCAATTTTATCTTTCGAAAGCAGTTTCAGGACGAGCTAAGAGACGAGAAACGGGGAGGGTAAGGGGATTTTAGAGACTTCTCATTTTGCAAAATTATGTTAAAATTACATCTTACTGAGAAAATTTTAAGAAAGCAAACAGTAAAAGCACGAAGATAACAGCCTGAGGGAGAAATAAAGAGAGGGGCATAGCAGAAAGAAGTGACAGCAAGGGAAGAGGGCGGAATCTGAAATTTCTGGAAAATTCTCAAATTTCAAACAATGTGGCAAGGAATACACATTTATTTGGCTTTAGAAGAGGCTACATAACATTTTTTTAAATTCGATTTACCTTTCAAGCAGTGTTTGCTAATATGAACGTTGACATCCCCTGCATAGCTTTGGGGAACATGTTGAGATTCCTTTTGGTAACCAAGTTTGAGCCAAAACAAGTTCAAGCTATTATTAGTTTTCTTTTCTGGGGGCTATAGATGGCCAGACCTACCTGAGGAGCTTTCTCTTTATATTCAGTCATTAAAAGCCCTTGATTCACACATTTGTTAAAATTGTTTACATCAGTTCAAACTTGAAAATATATCCCAGGAAGCATCGCGCCAGAAGTTGATTCTTACTGCTGCAGAAGGTGGAGAAGATATTCCCATGCCTGAGGATGACTGTGGCTCTGGACAAGAGGGGACATTCATTCTCAGGAATATGTGAGTTTATTGGGGTCAAAGGAAACTTTGCCCAGTTCTTTACTCCTATGGGAAGTGAACTTATCTAATCTGCCTTCTGAATGAGGGAAGTGGGGAGCCCAGAGCAGAAAGGCAGATGACGCCAAATTGCTCGAAAAGGTCGTAGACTCCAGAAAGCCACACTCTCCAGCCCCATGTGGTTTTAGACCTCTGAACCCTTTGCTCTCTGCAGACTTAACATGGTCCTGCTTGTGGCCATGGAAAGAAACAGGCTTATTTAGCATTTTAATCCCTTCCAGATTAAAAAGCAAAATGAACTGGAGCTTCAGCTAGAACAGATCGAGTTTCCTTCCCAGACTCGATAACTTTGTTTTATAAAATGAGTGTGGTGACATTTTAAGGGTTAATTATGAGCCTTTAGAAATCCTGGACTGGCAAATTTTTTTTTTTTAAATATTTACACAACTGAGCTTTAGATGGCCTCACTGTGTGTGTGTGTGTGTGTGTGTGTGTGTGAAAAAATATTTACACAACTGAGCTTTAGATGGCATCACTGTGTGTGTGTGTGTGTGTGTGTGTCTGTGTGCATGCGCGCGCACGTGTGTGTGTTAAGAGCTCACAGGATTTAACACTTTTTCTCCAAACCCTGAACATCTCCAAAACACCTAAGAAAGTGAAATTTATTAGGTCCATTTGGAAGGCTATGATATCTACTCATTTTCAAGGTTGAAATGCAGGAGAGCAGACCACTTATTCACCCTATGCCGGGCAGGGGGAGAGGAAAACTAGAACTCCTGTTTTCTGAGTCCCGTTTTCAGAAAGCCTCCCTCAATCCATTCCCTCTTCCTTTCAAACCCAGTGTGAGAATTGAGGAAGACCAAATACTCCTCTATTCAAGTACCTTAAGAAAAGTTTGTGTTTCTTTTCTTTGTTAACCCTGAGAGGAGGACAGGAGGAGAATGCCTCTCCTCCAAGTTTCCCCGGCTTCTGATTTCTCTTTAAAAAATGTCACCGGACCAGATGCCCTTCAGCATCCCAGGACTCTACCTCTGGAGCCCAGCCCTGTCTTACATGCTATTAGGGAAGACAGAGTTTGAAACTGGCAGAAGGCCTTGGGGGGAAAAGGCTAATCGAAGGGTGAGAGAAGGCCAGGGAGAGTGGCAGACTGTTGCTCAGAGAGAATGTGCATCATCCCACCCTTATATCTGCTAAGGGCTCCTGGGCCTCACCATCCTTTGCCCCCAAAGGGTTACTGGGCTCGGAGATCACCGAGACAAAAACCACTGCTGGGAGTGGCGCCTCTCAAACAGGCATTTTTATTGTCAAACGAGCGAGGTGAGGAAAGGTATAAGAAACTGACACAATTTGCTGTCATATCATCAGTTTTTAATGAAAAATCGACACTGTCCCATCCTTACAGGTCAGAATTCAGTTTTTGGGCTTGGGAAGATGCAGCACCAAATCAGTCTGTGTGTTTGTGTGTGTGCGTGTTTTTATGTGTGTGTTTTGTGTGTGTGTGTGTGTGGCGTTTTTCCTGTCACCTACTTCAGAAAATTTTCTCTCCTTTCCATTAAAAATTTTTTTTCCCCTAAAAACCAAAGTTATATAGGTTCATTTCAGAAGATTTAGAAAATACAGAATTGTGACCCAGAAGAAACTAAAATTCATCTATAATTTTACCACCAAATTTTAATCGATATTTTAGTGAACGGCTGCCAGTCTGTTCTCTATGTTTTAACGGCAGCTAAGCTTCAAGAGCACAGGGACCTTGCTCGCATCTGCAACCCAATTGCTCTGACAGTGCCGAATGCATGGTGACCTGTAGATGGGTTGGTTGAATGACTAAATAAATAACTATATAAGAATAATTTGAATTGAAATAGGTTATCACGATAGAGCAGAGAATAACAGAAATATTGATGATGCTTGGATGTAGCAAACTCGGGATCAAGCTGCTACTGCTAATTTATTGCGTCTCCTTGGAACAGCCACTTTACCTCTCTGGGTCTGAGTTTCTTCTTCAGTAAAATAATTATTATAGTTAACACTCCATGAGTGCTACTACGTGCCAAGCATGGTTATAAGCTCTCTACGTGTATTTCTTACCACGACTCTATGGGATAGGCACCTTCTACTCCCATTTTATGCACAAGGAAACTGAGGCAGGGAGAGGCTGATTTGCCCACAGTCACACGGATGGTAAGTGGAGAGCTGGGCTTGAACTTGGGCACCTGGGCTTTCCTCTGCAGTGGAACACCTTAGTTGACTCGGAGGGCCCCTCCTGGCTCCAGTGCTGAGTGAGAGAGGAGTGGTGTAGGGAGGTTGTGAAGATCATTCTCTGGGCCCAGCACAAGAAAGTCAATTGTGGAGCAAGGTCCACATGATTAGTGCATGGAGATCAGAGAGCAAAGTTCTTAGCCAGAGGACCTCCTCTCGAATATGTGGAGTCCACATGAGCACTCACAGATCATGATGAAAAACCAGCCTGCTCTCCAACCGGTGCTCCATCCTTCAGAGAGAGGGTTACGAGGGCTCTTGGCGTGTCCCCTTCTGCTTTCAGGGCCTCACCTTACATCCACCCACAGGACAGTGCACCAGGGTCAGGCAGGGAAGTAAATAAGAAATAAATCTGATCTTTCTTGACTGTGAGCAGCAGCCCGAGGTGTTTGATGGGGGAGGAAGAATGGGAATCTCCTTTGATGATTAGATAGGATTTCAATGGGCAGGACGCTGTCCCTTTTCCTCCTCCTCCTCAGATGAGAGTTTGGGAAGATAACTTGTGTTTTGACTTATCCCCATGGTAACCAGGTCTTTTTGGTAAGGAGGAATGGGCTTCGGTAAACAGATCTATTTGTGTGACTCATATTACTCATTTGAAGCAATGTCACTCCTTTTTCCACTGTGGTCTGTGTGTCTGAGTCAGAAGGAGCCTAAACAGGCTTCTTTGAATTGATGGCTCACTCCCAGCCTCTTGACTGACTGCCAACTTAGCAGGGCGTAGCTTACCAACAAATCTTTTTTTTTTTTTTTTTTTTAAGGCAGACTGATTCATAGAAACTCCTTTAAAACACAGTGAAAAGAAACCGCCCATCACACACCCCAGCACACCAGCGCAGGAAACTTATAACCTCGGGAGGCAGGTCCCTCCCCTCACTGCAGTCACAAACCTCCAGAAGAGCGGACTGACCAGGCAGCTGCCAGCTCCTGCCACTCAGTCGCTGGGACCCTCAGGTAAGATAGCTCCCAACGCTACAGAGAAACTGAGCATTTTCTCTTTACTTTCCACTGCTGTCTTTTCTTCTACCTCATCTAAGTTTTTCTTTTTCTTTTTTCCTTTGCTATTTTTCTTTGATTCCTTGAGTCGAATCCTCGAAACTTCTGGCTAAAAGTAGATACTGAGACAACTTTTTCCATAAGGTTTAGAAAAGTATATTTTGATGGTGGGGAAGGGGGCGGTCAAGGAAATCAGCAGTACTGGGCTGCAATTATGTCTTGCAGTAACTGGGTTCTTGCTCTGAAGATGTGAAGGGAGAGAGGACTTCGGAACACACCTGGATAGGATATTCTTTACGGAGGAAGCACTGCATACCTCTGAAATGACATACCGCTCTTTGCCAGATGTTTCCCATTCCTCCATTTTGATTCAAATTGCTTCAAGACTTGAATTCTTTCTCTGCTTCTTAGTTGTTTGCTGGCCTTTTTTGGCTGACGGTGGATAGATGTCTGCTTTTCAGTTTATTTTTGCTGCTGCTTTTACTACTGCCCTTTCGTTTGTTCATTCACTTCTGTTTAAAAGTGTTTTTTCTCCCCACAGGATGGGAGGAGGGGGGTGGGTTTTCTTTAAAGGAAACCGTTAGAGTTAGAGAGGGAGGGAGAAAGGAGGAGAGAGAGAGAGAGAAAGAGAGAGAAGCAACTGGTGTTTCAAATAAGACTCGGGAGGGGTTTGTCTGATGGAATCAGGAGGCTGATGTGGATTCCAGAGCTCCTTCTCTCCTAGGCCAGATGTGCAGAATAGGAGAGGCAGGAGGGAGCCTGGGTGCTGGGGAGAGGGTGGGGCAGGGGAACTTGATCGGTTCCTGGAATAAAAACATTGAATGGCTTTGTGCTTCCACTCCACAAACGGCTGATTTTTTTTTCTGAGTGAAGAGTTGATGTATCAGAAATGATACATTTTTTTTTTTTTAGGTGGATATGGAATTTTTCTGCATGAAAGGCAGTGATTGTTTTGGAACTTTTATCTTCTCGCTCTTTTCTAAATCGGTTGTACAAATGCAAA